CACGTGCTGTCGCTTTGTCGGCATGTGTTGGCAAAAAATCAATCCCTGCCAAGTTGAGCGAGAATCAATCACCTCCCATGTATGCTCACATGCCCGCTCACCTCCCATGTATGCTCACATGCCCGCTCACCTCCCATGTATGCTCACATGCCCGCTCACCTCCCATGTATGCTCACATGCCCGCTCACCTCCCATGTATGCTCACATGCCCGCTCACCTCCCATGTATGCTCACATGCCCGCTCACCTCCCATGTATGCTCACATGCCCGCTCACCTCCCATGTATGCTCACATGCCCGCTCACCTCCCATGTATGCTCACATGCCCGCTCACCTCCCATGTATGCTCACATGCCCGCTCACCTCCCATGTATGCTCACATGCCCGCTCACCTCCCATGTATGCTCACATGCCCGCTCACCTCCCATGTATGCTCACATGCCCGCTCACCTCCCATGTATGCTCACATGCCCGCTCACCTCCCATGTATGCTCACATGCCCGCTCACCTCCCATGTATGCTCACATGCCCGCTCACCTCCCATGTATGCTCACATGCCCGCTCACCTCCCATGTATGCTCACATGCCCGCTCACCTCCCATGTATGCTCACATGCCCGCTCACCTCCCATGTATGCTCACATGCCCGCTCACCTCCCATGTATGCTCACATGCCCGCTCACCTCCCATGTATGCTCACATGCCCGCTCACCTCCCATGTATGCTCACATGCCCGCTCACCTCCCATGTATGCTCACATGCCCGCTCACCTCCCATGTATGCTCACATGCCCGCTCACCTCCCATGTATGCTCACATGCCCGCTCACCTCCCATGTATGCTCACATGCCCGCTCACCTCCCATGTATGCTCACATGCCCGCTCACCTCCCATGTATGCTCACATGCCCGCTCACCTCCCATGTATGCTCACATGCCCGCTCACCTCCCATGTATGCTCACATGCCCGCTCACCTCCCATGTATGCTCACATGCCCGCTCACCTCCCATGTATGCTCACATGCCCGCTCACCTCCCATGTATGCTCACATGCCCGCTCACCTCCCATGTATGCTCACATGCCCGCTCACCTCCCATGTATGCTCACATGCCCGCTCACCTCCCATGTATGCTCACATGCCCGCTCACCTCCCATGTATGCTCACATGCCCGCTCACCTCCCATGTATGCTCACATGCCCGCTCACCTCCCATGTATGCTCACATGCCCGCTCACCTCCCATGTATGCTCACATGCCCGCTCACCTCCCATGTATGCTCACATGCCCGCTCACCTCCCATGTATGCTCACATGCCCGCTCACCTCCCATGTATGCTCACATGCCCGCTCACCTCCCATGTATGCTCACATGCCCGCTCACCTCCCATGTATGCTCACATGCCCGCTCACCTCCCATGTATGCTCACATGCCCGCTCACCTCCCATGTATGCTCACATGCCCGCTCACCTCCCATGTATGCTCACATGCCCGCTCACCTCCCATGTATGCTCACATGCCCGCTCACCTCCCATGTATGCTCACATGCCCGCTCACCTCCCATGTATGCTCACATGCCCGCTCACCTCCCATGTATGCTCACATGCCCGCTCACCTCCCATGTATGCTCACATGCCCGCTCACCTCCCATGTATGCTCACATGCCCGCTCACCTCCCATGTATGCTCACATGCCCGCTCACCTCCCATGTATGCTCACATGCCCGCTCACCTCCCATGTATGCTCACATGCCCGCTCACCTCCCATGTATGCTCACATGCCCGCTCACCTCCCATGTATGCTCACATGCCCGCTCACCTCCCATGTATGCTCACATGCCCGCTCACCTCCCATGTATGCTCACATGCCCGCTCACCTCCCATGTATGCTCACATGCCCGCTCACCTCCCATGTATGCTCACATGCCCGCTCACCTCCCATGTATGCTCACATGCCCGCTCACCTCCCATGTATGCTCACATGCCCGCTCACCTCCCATGTATGCTCACATGCCCGCTCACCTCCCATGTATGCTCACATGCCCGCTCACCTCCCATGTATGCTCACATGCCCGCTCACCTCCCATGTATGCTCACATGCCCGCTCACCTCCCATGTATGCTCACATGCCCGCTCACCTCCCATGTATGCTCACATGCCCGCTCACCTCCCATGTATGCTCACATGCCCGCTCACCTCCCATGTATGCTCACATGCCCGCTCACCTCCCATGTATGCTCACATGCCCGCTCACCTCCCATGTATGCTCACATGCCCGCTCACCTCCCATGTATGCTCACATGCCCGCTCACCTCCCATGTATGCTCACATGCCCGCTCACCTCCCATGTATGCTCACATGCCCGCTCACCTCCCATGTATGCTCACATGCCCGCTCACCTCCCATGTATGCTCACATGCCCGCTCACCTCCCATGTATGCTCACATGCCCGCTCACCTCCCATGTATGCTCACATGCCCGCTCACCTCCCATGTATGCTCACATGCCCGCTCACCTCCCATGTATGCTCACATGCCCGCTCACCTCCCATGTATGCTCACATGCCCGCTCACCTCCCATGTATGCTCACATGCCCGCTCACCTCCCATGTATGCTCACATGCCCGCTCACCTCCCATGTATGCTCACATGCCCGCTCACCTCCCATGTATGCTCACATGCCCGCTCACCTCCCATGTATGCTCACATGCCCGCTCACCTCCCATGTATGCTCACATGCCCGCTCACCTCCCATGTATGCTCACATGCCCGCTCACCTCCCATGTATGCTCACATGCCCGCTCACCTCCCATGTATGCTCACATGCCCGCTCACCTCCCATGTATGCTCACATGCCCGCTCACCTCCCATGTATGCTCACATGCCCGCTCACCTCCCATGTATGCTCACATGCCCGCTCACCTCCCATGTATGCTCACATGCCCGCTCACCTCCCATGTATGCTCACATGCCCGCTCACCTCCCATGTATGCTCACATGCCCGCTCACCTCCCATGTATGCTCACATGCCCGCTCACCTCCCATGTATGCTCACATGCCCGCTCACCTCCCATGTATGCTCACATGCCCGCTCACCTCCCATGTATGCTCACATGCCCGCTCACCTCCCATGTATGCTCACATGCCCGCTCACCTCCCATGTATGCTCACATGCCCGCTCACCTCCCATGTATGCTCACATGCCCGCTCACCTCCCATGTATGCTCACATGCCCGCTCACCTCCCATGTATGCTCACATGCCCGCTCACCTCCCATGTATGCTCACATGCCCGCTCACCTCCCATGTATGCTCACATGCCCGCTCACCTCCCATGTATGCTCACATGCCCGCTCACCTCCCATGTATGCTCACATGCCCGCTCACCTCCCATGTATGCTCACATGCCCGCTCACCTCCCATGTATGCTCACATGCCCGCTCACCTCCCATGTATGCTCACATGCCCGCTCACCTCCCATGTATGCTCACATGCCCGCTCACCTCCCATGTATGCTCACATGCCCGCTCACCTCCCATGTATGCTCACATGCCCGCTCACCTCCCATGTATGCTCACATGCCCGCTCACCTCCCATGTATGCTCACATGCCCGCTCACCTCCCATGTATGCTCACATGCCCGCTCACCTCCCATGTATGCTCACATGCCCGCTCACCTCCCATGTATGCTCACATGCCCGCTCACCTCCCATGTATGCTCACATGCCCGCTCACCTCCCATGTATGCTCACATGCCCGCTCACCTCCCATGTATGCTCACATGCCCGCTCACCTCCCATGTATGCTCACATGCCCGCTCACCTCCCATGTATGCTCACATGCCCGCTCACCTCCCATGTATGCTCACATGCCCGCTCACCTCCCATGTATGCTCACATGCCCGCTCACCTCCCATGTATGCTCACATGCCCGCTCACCTCCCATGTATGCTCACATGCCCGCTCACCTCCCATGTATGCTCACATGCCCGCTCACCTCCCATGTATGCTCACATGCCCGCTCACCTCCCATGTATGCTCACATGCCCGCTCACCTCCCATGTATGCTCACATGCCCGCTCACCTCCCATGTATGCTCACATGCCCGCTCACCTCCCATGTATGCTCACATGCCCGCTCACCTCCCATGTATGCTCACATGCCCGCTCACCTCCCATGTATGCTCACATGCCCGCTCACCTCCCATGTATGCTCACATGCCCGCTCACCTCCCATGTATGCTCACATGCCCGCTCACCTCCCATGTATGCTCACATGCCCGCTCACCTCCCATGTATGCTCACATGCCCGCTCACCTCCCATGTATGCTCACATGCCCGCTCACCTCCCATGTATGCTCACATGCCCGCTCACCTCCCATGTATGCTCACATGCCCGCTCACCTCCCATGTATGCTCACATGCCCGCTCACCTCCCATGTATGCTCACATGCCCGCTCACCTCCCATGTATGCTCACATGCCCGCTCACCTCCCATGTATGCTCACATGCCCGCTCACCTCCCATGTATGCTCACATGCCCGCTCACCTCCCATGTATGCTCACATGCCCGCTCACCTCCCATGTATGCTCACATGCCCGCTCACCTCCCATGTATGCTCACATGCCCGCTCACCTCCCATGTATGCTCACATGCCCGCTCACCTCCCATGTATGCTCACATGCCCGCTCACCTCCCATGTATGCTCACATGCCCGCTCACCTCCCATGTATGCTCACATGCCCGCTCACCTCCCATGTATGCTCACATGCCCGCTCACCTCCCATGTATGCTCACATGCCCGCTCACCTCCCATGTATGCTCACATGCCCGCTCACCTCCCTGCCCGCTCACCTCCCTGCCCGCTCACCTCCCTGCCCGCTCACCTCCCTGCCCGCTCACCTCCCTGCCCGCTCACCTCCCTGCTCACCTCCCTGCCTGCTCACCTCCCTGCCCGCTCACCTCCCTGCCCGCTCACCTCCCTGCCTGCTCACCTCCCTGCCCGCTCACCTCCATGACCGCATTGGCGGTGTTCTCTGCTCCGAGGCGAATGAGGTGGCGCAGCAGGCGGCTGTACCTTGCGTACGGCGATGCCACGCGGCGGAAGAAGCGCAGCACAATCAAGTACATGTCCTGGTATATCGCCGATGCCCTCTCCGATGACTCCTGCCAGCACGTGCATGTGGGCCAGCAGACAAGGGCGAGGGGGAGGGAGGGAGGGAGGGAGGGAGGGAGGGAGGGAGGGAGGGAGGGAGGGAGGGAGAAGGAGGGAGGGAGGGAGGGAGCAAGGGAGGGAAGGAGGGAGGGAGGGAACGAGGGAGGGAGGGAGGGAGGGAGGGAGGGAGGGAGGGAGGGAGGGAGGGAGGGAGGGAGGGAGGGAGGGAGGGAGGGGGAGGGAGGGAGCGGAGGGAGAGGGAGGGAGCGAGGGAGGGAGGGAGGGAGGGAGGGAGGGAGGGAGGGAGGGAGGGAGGGTGAAGATAGGTTGAGAGCGCTAAGTATCACGACGCACTCCAGCCACATGTGATGCACTCCAGCCACATGTGATGCACTCCAGCCACATGTGATGCACTCCAGCCACATGTGATGCACTCCAGCCACATGTGATGCTGAGAACAAAACGAGGTGTGAAAGGAGGGTGTCAAGATGATACGTAAAAGGAAGGCGAAGAGCACAAAGAAGAAGGCGAAGAGCACAAAGAAGAAGGCGAAGAGCACAAAGAAGAAGGCGAAGAGCACAAAGAAGAAGGCGAAGAGCACAAAGAAGAAGTTGATGACAAAGGAGAACCACAATACCATTTCCGTTGGTCTGTGCTGGTCTCCCTTCACTTGCCAGACCTCCATAAATTCGCCTTGACTGCTGTCAACTCTCCTTCACCTTCGTTGACCTGTGCTGACTCGCCTTGACTGCCGTTGGCCTACGTTGACTCACCTTGACTGTCGTTAACATACGTTGACTCAACTTGCCTATCGTTGACCTGAGTTAACCCACCTTGACCGCCATTGACTAGCGTTGACTCACCTTGGCTGCTGTTGACCGGCGTTGACTCGCCTTGACTGCTGTTGTCCGGTGTTGACTCACCTCGACCGCTGCTGACCTGCGCCGACTCACCTTGACTGGCGTTGACTGTTGTTGACTGACCTTGACTGGCGTTGACCTTTGTTGACTGATCTTAACTGGCGTTGACCGTTCTAAGTTGCGGAAGACGCGTCTAGGGCTGATTAGACGCAAGGTTAGACGCAAGCCCGGGCAGGCAAATAAAGTACGGACAGCCAATTTCTTCTTAGGTCATGAGGCATGGGGAGGTGGAGGGGGTATGGACGTAGCTAGCATTTGAGGCAATTTCTTCTTAGGTCTTGATTTTTTCCCCCCAATTTTTTTTTTCCCCGCCTGCCCAAAAACTTTTCCCCCTTGCGTCTAGCGTCTACGGGTGCGTCCTGCGTCTAGCGTCTAGAGGCTGCCTCTAGACGCTAGACGCAGGACGGTCCTGGCGTCTTCCGCAACATAGTGACCGTTGTTGACTGACCTTGACTGGCGTTGACCTTTGTTGACTGACCTTGACTGGCGTTGACCTTTGTTGACTGATTTTAACTGGCGTTGACCTTTGTTGACTGACCTTGACTGGCGTTGACCTTTGTTGACTGACCTTGACTGGCGTTGACCTTTGTTGACTGACCTTGACTGGCGTTGACCTTTGTTGACTGACCTTGACTGGCGTTGACCTTTGTTGACTGACCTTGACTGCCATGAAGGCATCCACGATGATGGCAATGAGGAAGTTGAAGAGGATGAAGCAGAAGATGATGACGAAGGAGAACCAGAAGATCATGGCCGCCGCGTACTGCCACCCCACCATCTGCTGGAACCACGACACGTAGAACTGCCCCACAATCATGTAGAAGCAGGTCTGCAGGGACAACCACAGCGTGCTGAACTGCAGTTGGGGGAGAGGAGGGCAGTGAAAGAGAGAAATCACACATATCATATCATTACCTCCTGTTCAAACCTGCATTCGCAGACACTCTGGAGAATCTTACGCTGATTGGGAACATGCCCCGTTTTAGGCAAGCAGCAGCATTGTGAACATAAGAATTCAACCAAGCTTCTGTTTAAGCGCGCAATTCAGAAAATTGGGCTTACAACCAACAATCCTGCCCTATTCTCTCCGCGTAACATGTTAGCGTCCAGCACTGACTGCCCCTTGGCACAATCCACACTGTCACACCATCCATGTGGACATGGCAGTACCTACAAAGTGACCGAGGCCACTAAAACCCACCTCGTTACTAGCGGCATCCCGCTAGATGAGCTACTTGGATACTCGGCCGGGTTTGAAGAAGCTTGGCCAATGGGCAAGTAAAACTTGCCGCATAGACGTTTGTGGCAGCATCTACTTACCACATGACCTGCAACAGCCTTACAATCCCTGGATTTACTGGATACATGCTTTCCTCCAAGTAATCCGCATCATTCTGCATCCAAGGGCTGCGGCCCTTGGCTGCAGCGCCTCTCTCCTCCCCCTCACACCCCGCATGGCTGCGGCAGCCTTCGTGGCCTGTTCTGGGTCCATGCACACAGCCACGAACTTAAAGCACCATTGCTTTGCACCGGAAAGTCTGTGTTCAATGAAAACCTGCTCAGGGAACCTAAAGGACTAGCCTATGCTTGCCTGATCTTACAAGAAAAATATTCGTCAAAATGAGATTTCGGATTTTGGCTCCACTGCAGAGACACTTAGACAGACACATTTATTACTCACAAGGCAAACTTCTATTGCCTGGAAGTTATCGAAGAAGACTGATAATTTTTTTCTAGTCTCGGAAACAATATGTTAGAGTGTTTGTAACACTTATCTAGTTTATATCCAGACTAAGCTTGAACCTTGCAACCTCTACACTGCTTGCCTGTGAAATTGCAAACATGGTTTACCTCACAAGGAATCTAGTCTTTCACGGTCACTGCGAGCAGAACGAGGTGCACCAATTCTCCACTCGTGAGCTGCATTGCCGCTTCCTCCGTTTTCAGGAGGTGGCCTCCAATGCCAGCCTTGCCCATAACTCTACAACAGCCCTCCTAAACTCTAACTCTACAACAGCCCTCCTAAACCCTAAACCCTAAAATCTAACTCTACAACAGCCCTCCTAAACTCTCACTATACAACAGCCCTCCTAAACCCTAAACCCTGAAATCTAACTCTACAACAGCCCTCCTAAACCCTAAACCCTAAAATCTAACTCTACAACAACCCTCCTTCACCACCCAACCATGCCTACGTGCCGCACTTGGCCTCACCCACCTCCCCAGTTCGGAAGTGTTTTTGTGAGGTGCTCCTCTTCAAAGCTTCAACTAGCCAGGGGAAGAGCTCATGTAGGCTTGTTTATGCTCTTTATTTTTTACTAGCCTTACGTTATTATTCGGCCAATTTTAGACTTGACTCCATTTCAGATTACGGTTCATTCTGTGGTTAGTTTCTTCAAACAAAAATGGACAATGTTTGTTTTGAGTTTCACCCAACCAAATCTATTTCTTTATACTCCCACCTAACTCATGCAACCTTTTCACCTCGCCATCCATGGTTCCTTGTAGGCATGAGCACAGTACCGAACCGAACAGGTTAGGAACTGCATTGGTTCGTAATCAAACCAGATTAGCTAAAAGCAGCCTCACGGCTAGTAACTAAGGAACTGGATCACTACAATCAAACCAAACTGATTCGTTTCGGCACGGTTCTAGGCCGGACCTCCACGTCTCCAAACGGCTAGCTAGCCCAACCCTGACCGTAATGTCGTTCCTAGCTTGCAGCGAGTAGACAAAACGACCCACTCCTTCCGCTTTCTGTCTTAGCGTGCCTTTTCAAGTTCAAGAAAGTGTGTCATAGTTGTGAGCTAACGACTTGAGACAGATATGAAGCCATGGTCTCAATCAGCCAGAGTAAAGCTTTTGAAATTTATGGTTCGACTCGAACAGGGTATGGTTCGAGTCGAATTGTTCAGTTTGGCTTGTTTTTGAGGCGCCTCTTGGCTTCGACGTGATTTTTTTTTCTCGCACGAACTCCACGCCTCATATCGCATCGCATGGGTTCTGCTTGGAATGAAAAACCAAGGGAGCCGTCACTCAATTCCGAGCCCCATCTCCTGACTAGCCGACTCCGCTTATGCATATGTGCACACATCCTCCCCAACCCACCCCCACACGGGATTCTGCCAAGATACGGGGGAAGAATCATGCGACAAAATGAATTGCACACTTGAGCTGAACAGGAGCATGCATAGCATGCAGTACACACCTGTTCTAAGGTCATCCCAAACACCAGGTAGCCATAGGTGGCGTATGCCACGAAGACAACGAGGAAGAGAATGAAGAAGTGGAGAAGAGATGGCATGGCGACTCGGAGGGAGCGTGTCATGATGCCCATGTTGGGCTGAAAGTCCATGAGCTTCAAGAGGCGCAGCACCATGATGAAAACACTGGTGGGGTGGGATGGTGACACGCGCCATGGGGCAAGGCAAAGCAAGACGAAAGATATGAAACATGTGGTGCGGGAGAAGCCTTTTGTGGTTGTGATGTGATGAGGTTACAACAGATACCCGCGTTCTCGAGACACACGGAGGCAGCATGACACATAGAGAAAAGAGAATGGAGAGGCGAGAGAATGGAATAGAGGAAAGAGGGAAGCGTGGGGAGATGGGGAACGGGTTAGAGAGGGGAGAGGAGGGAGATGGGGGAAAGAGGGGAGAGGGTGGAGGTGGAGAGGTGGGAGAAGGGGGGGAGGCGGTAGAGGGGGGAGATGGGAGAAGGGGACCGGAGAGGGAAGAACGGGAAGACAGGGGAGAGCAGGGGAGAGGGGAGAGGAAGGAGAGAGGGCATAGAGGGGAATGAGCAGGTAGGAGAGGGGAAAGGGGAGAGGGGCAAGATGAGGAGAGGGGAAAGAAGGGAAAGAGAAGAGAGGGGAAAGCGGTACAAAGGGGATAGGGGAGCAAGGTGGTAAGTTGAAGAGCTTCAAGACATGTGGCTGGTCGCAAGTGGTATCGCGATGGCGGCAGGGGCATGGGAGAGGAGAAGCGAGACTGACTTGATGCCCTGAAGGGCGAAGTAGACGGAGCAGAGGTTGGTGATGAAGCCAAGTGTGTCCACCGCTGACATGGCCGCCTGATAGCCCACGGGTGGGTTGGGCAGCGACCAGTAGCGCGGGTTGTCATCGAGAGTGTCGTAGATGTCGTAGTGAGGCTGGATGGTGAACCCCTCTGCTCGCATCACCGCCACTGCTATCCTGTACGTGGGATGGTAGAGTAGAGAGGGTGAGAAAAAGACAAAGAGTTTTCACTCCTCCACCGATGTAAGCAGTACGTGACTGAGGCACCACACTCAATCCACTCATCACAAAAATAATTCCCATCCCTTGCCACCCTCGCCGCCCCATGCCTCGCCACCCCAAGCGAGCGGACCAGATGGCGATGGCGGTGATCTGGAGAGCGATGGAGAGCCAGTCCACCCACGTCCACTCCTTGCTGGCGTAGTGCCAGAAGGAGCGACGCTGCACCTTCCACGTCCACAGCATCTCCTTCACCTCCTCCACGATGCTCCATGCCACCGCCGCCACAAAGAGCAGCTCCAGCACGAGGCGCGCCACGTTGCTGCTCTCATTCATGTTGTAATACTCCACGTTCACCGGCTGCACCTGGAACACCGCCTCCATGCTGCCGCCCGACTGCACCGTCAGGGTGGCCTTGGTGGCCGTGAATAGATGCTCGTTGGCTGGCGGCAAGGGGGGGAGCAGAGAGGGCGAGTGCACATGCAGGTAAAAGAGAAGGTGAGTGATTGGACTACTGCTGTGGTGAGTTGCTATTGAAGTGCTTATTTGCTTTCCTAGCCCCATCTGGTTGGGACTCTCCTCTACTCCAACCACTTCGCCTACTCGGTTTCAGAGCTCTGGATGGTTTTGACTCGATCCTTTTTCATTCCTTTCTTCACCCCAATTCTCTCAGTGCTCAAGATGGAGTGCCCTGTTTCTACTCTGCGTTCGAGTTCGATTTCAGAAGCCTCAAGTTTTGGGCTCTTCCTTTTTTGGCCGGCATGCAGTATACGGTATACCCACACAAGCTGAGCGACACTAAACCTATTGAAGTGCTGCTAACAGCAAACGCATAGTAGACGGGCACAGTACCATTGCGGGTGATGAGCCCAACGTTGATGGAGCGGGTGTAGTTGTCGATGAAGAAGCAGCCGCCGTGTTGCCCCCGCGTTATCCAGATTCACGTCAAACACGATCGGGAACCGCCCGCTTCCGGGCTGAGGACACGGTGCGGGTTGGGTTGGGTGGGAGTGCGACAGAGTGCAAGGAAATGCAAGGGAATGCAAGGGAGAGCGAGGGAGTGCAAGGGAGTGCAAGGGAGAGTGAGGGAGTGCAAGGGAGTGCAAGGGAGTGCAAGGGAGTGCAAGGGAATACGAGGGAGTGCGAGGGAGTCCACAGAGCAAGAGAGGCAGCTTTTGTACTGGGAATGTGAGACAATGCAAGGTGCATTGAGGTTAAGAGCAATGTGGCATGAGCAGCATGGATGAAGCCTGGATTGGCCCACAATGGATGGACCAGGGCAGAGCAGCTGCTGGCGTGCTGGGTGGAGGGCCACGAGGCGAGTGAAGGACCACGGGTGGGGAGGAGCCTGGAGAGGCTGCTCTAACTGATTGCGTCTGGTAACATGGGAACGCAGTTAAATGGTGACACGGTTACATGCATTGTAACAGAAGACGGTGCGCATGGGTGAAGGCAAGGTGTGACTGACGAGCTGCTGGAAGCCAAAGGGCAGCCCCTTGGCGTTGAGCTCAAAGGGGTTGGCGAAGGGCTGGTTGGTGAAGGCAGTGGTGTTGGTGACGGCGACATTGGGGTTGTAGAGCGAGGAGGACGGCAGGAACACCGGGTTCACCCCAAACGCACTCGCCGACTCCCCCCCCACACATGCGTCCTGGAAGTGGAACCTGCCGTGCCAGGGGGAGGCAGGGGAGGGGCGGAGGCAGGGGAGGGGGTGAGGCAGGGGGAGGGGAGGCAGGGGGAGGGGAGGCAGGGGGAGGGGAGGCAGGGGGAGGGGAGGCAGGGGAGGGCGAGGAAGGGAGGACCAAGAGAAATGGTGGATGTGGCTTTGCGCACAAGCAGTGGGGAAAGGCCTTGATGGACAGGAGGCATGGGGCTACGGAAATGCATAGGGTCAGGTGAATGGCTCGTGACCCTCGATGATGGTTGGTTTGGGATGATGGTGATTCAGGTGCTGATTTGCGGAGGAAGGCAGCTGTAGGAGGGGACCAACAGAATGTGCACTCTTAGGCGCCTTACAGGACATTCTCTGAAGCTGCCTCTGGAGTGGTTGCTGGAAGCAAGCAGTAGGGCAATGCCTCGGAGGAAAGATGGTGTATGGTTGATTGAAATGGTGCATGTGGGTAGAGAACGGGCATGTAGTCAGCTGCTCGTGACTGCTGAGCATGCTGGAGTGACACGGGCGACTGACCTGCTGTTGGCACAGTGGGCGGCGTTCCAGCGGTACTGCACGATGACCAGCCCCACGAGCACACTGGGGGGTGTGAGACACGGCAGCAGCGCATGATACAGGCAGACGGGAAAACAGTGCATGGCACAGTGAGAGAGAGGAGCATCGTTGGAATAACACAGTGCACAGCACAGTGATCAGACCCGGCATTGGAAGGGAGTACCTTGTCGGCATGCAGAGAGGCGAAATGCAGAGAGGCAGCGCGGCAGCCGTGAAAGCAAGCACATCATCATTGCGATCAATGCCCATGCAGCACACAGGGGACGGATACTTGTAAGGCGGGTAGAGTCCGTGGGGTATGGGGAGGAAGACAAGACAAACCATTGTAGATGCAAACAGAACCTGCTATATGGAGTACAGCAGAACGAGATTCGCAACTGGGGGGAGGGACAAAACTTGAGGTACGGGGTATACCAGATTGGGAATGCATACATAAGATAGGTGAACTGTCAGGGTAACAGTGCGGCACCTGTTGTACTGGGAGACAGTGCGCGGCAGCAGAGAGGCGTTGGTGGCGCGAGTGGCGTCGAGGGGATGCACAGTGGAGCCAAAGCGGCGCAGCCTGAAGGGCACCTTGATGGCCTCCCCCACTCCCGCCCCCTCACAGCATGCTGAGGAGCACCGTGGAGGACAGAGTGGCGATGAGGGGAGGACGGGGAGAAGAGGGGAGGACGGGAAGAGGGGAGAACAGGTAGGAGGGAGGACGGGGAGATAGGAGGACGGGAAAGTGGGAGGACGAGGGGAGGTACGAAGAGAGGGGAAGGGGAAGGGGGGGGGGGGGTTGTGGTGGAGAGAGGAGGGGAGTGCAACCACCAGGCGAAATTGCCGATGGCAGCAGTGTGGTTCATGGCAGCACACATTGCATGACTTGGATGCCCCACCCACTCAGGCTGAGTGAAAAGAACATGGCAGTTTGTAGGGGCACGGAGATATGGGTGCGCTGAGTGAATGCATCTCTCAGCTTACCTCCATCAACCCCCCGTGTTTGCAGCACTGGGCATTCACACCACTGCACATCTGCTCCTCCTCCTACCCGCGTTTGCACATCTGCGCTACCAGCGCTGCCAGTGGTGCTGCCGCCAGCCCCAGCAGCATGGGCAGTGGCGCAGGCACAGTCGCCCCCATCGAAGTCGCAGGCAGCCACGTTGCATGCGGGGTCGCAGCGGCCATTGGCCAGCATGGCCAGCGCACACGCGGGCGCACAGCTTGCGGCGAGCAGCTGCTCGTACGGCCGCACAGCCGTGCTCGGCTCCCATTTTGAGAGGCAGAGCAGAGAAAGGAGGTGGAGAACAAGAAGCAGGACAGGGTTGTCCATTGTGAATCACGTTTGAGAATTGAATCACGTTTGAGAATGCTCAAAAGTGATTGGCAGCAGAACAAGAGGGCTGAGAGAAGCAGTCAGCAGTGACTGGGGTGAGTGAGAACGAGGGCACCTTGGGGGCAGGAAGAAGCATCGGAGGACACGACTGCATCATCATAGGCATGCAGCAGACGGGTGGCAGCCTGGACGGCATTATCTGGCATCTTCTGCACGACTGACTGCAGTGCCATGATGAGGATTTGGATGAAGAGAGACTGCTGGGCGGCAGAGAAGCGCCGAGATGGACTGCACAGGCGGTGCAGGGGTGGGATGAGCGGGGTCCAGGGGATTTGGGGTGAGATGAGCAGGGTATGAGGGACAACAACAGATGAAGGTGAGTGGGAGGAGGCGAGGGAGAGGAGGAGGGAGAGGGAAGGGTGGAAAATGGGGAGAGTGAGCGTGAGAGGATAAAAAAGCAAACTGGCCGGCCTTTTAAGCTGGAGATGAAGTGAGAGCAGGTTGAGTATTTAAGCCTAGAGAAAGCAAAGACGAGCCTTCTCAGCCCCACCCCCAGTTCCCCCCAACCCCCCTCTCAGCCCCCCTATCAGCCCTCCTCCTCACAGCCCACCCTCAGCCCCACTCGGCGCCCAATGAACCCTCTCCCACCCAGCCCCTCCCATCCTTTAGGATTTAGCCTAGAGAGAGCAACGATGAGCCTTCTCAGTCCCCCTGTGAGCCCCAGTCAGCCCCATCCCAGCCCTTCTCCCAGACCTCCTCGCAGCCCCGCCTGTGAGCGCCGTACGTGCGGTGAGTCGCTCGAATGTAATCCACAAGCTCTGCTGGATCCTTCAACTGCCGCCCAGAGGAAGTTTCCGTGAAGTTGCAGAGTGGGTTGTTGGCCACAGGGCCGCCAAAGAGTGTGCAGAGGAAGGCAACGAGGCGACTGCGAGAGGCGAGGGAGAGGCTCTTGGCTGGCGAGGACCACAGCAGTGAGCCACTGCTGCCCATGCTGCTCCCCTGCTTGCTGGTGCTGCTGGTGGTATCAGTGCCAGCACTGCTGCTGGCATTGGTGGCGCCACTGGTCGGCCCGGCCAGGCAGTTCTCCTTCACTGCGGTGTACAGCGCCCGCGCCACTGCCACCTGGCACGCCCTGATTCGTTCGTCATTGGTGGTCCCCAGGCTCTCCCAAACGAGCAGCTGGTCTCGCGTGATTGGCGGAGCGGCTGACGCTGCAGGGCAGGGCGGGTGCAGGGAAGGGCGGGTGCAGGGATAGGTGAAGGGGAAGGCAATGTGTGAAGGAGACAAGACGGCTGTGCGACTTTTGAGGTGAGGTGCCCATTGCAAGTAGAGGAGAATCTTGGTCTCAGAAATTGTACCAAGGAGAGAGGAAGGAAGGCTATGCAAGGAAGAGAATCGCCTTTGCGGTTGAGCCATTGGAGGCACGAGCACAACCTCACTCAAACCCGTTTGACTCGAACTACCTGAACAGGCGGGCAGAATCAAATCAAACTGATTCGGTTTGGGTGGAACCAGCCTGAACAGCTCGTGGTTTAATATTCGAGTCTTCAAGGCGCAGCTCACAGGGGCTCAAGTTGAACCACTGTGGTTGAACCAGTTTTGTTTGTTTGAAGTATGTATACAACTGTCTGTCTAAGCAGCCTTAGGCTCAGAAATCAGTAGGGAACAGTCGTGGCCAACTCATTGTTTTTACCATAAAATCAGGCCCGCAAAACGAGGGTCACAGTGCAGAGCCATGTCGAACGGGTGAAAGAGGCTCAACCGATTCAACCCGAATCGGATGCTACACAACAAAAAGACAACAGTCGGTTCACGATAAACCAGCGTTCAGTAGTGTGCAATCAGGCAGGTTTGGAAATGGGCGTGGTGGAGGAGAGGGCGAGGAACGTGCAAGGGGAAGAGAGAACAGTGAACAGCAGTGAAGCTTCCGGGGGGGAAGCAGGCACCTGGTGGCGACGGTGGCGGAGTGTTAGGGCCCTGTGGTGGCGAGAGGCGGGTGCTGGGTTTGTTGGTGGGAGTGGTGGCAGTGGCAGAGACGTGTGCCCCCCCCACGGCATGCTGCTGCCTTGCTGGTTCGAGTGCCTCATGCTGCTGCGCCCACGTCTCCTGCAGCTGCTGCCTCACCTGCTGGTGGTGCTGCCCGTGGCAGTGGCGAGCAGAGGAGAGGAGAGGTGGGGGCAGTGGCGAGCAGAGGAGAGAGGGGGAGGGGAGTGGGGGAGTGAAGAGCAGAGGAAAGAGCGCAGTAGCCAGGAGGGCAGCAGCAGAGTGTAAAGGCAGCAGTGGAGACAACAGAGATGGTTTTGAAACAGACAAGGCAAGAGGAACGCATTAGGAAACACAGCAAATACAGCATCAGCATCACTGCACACAGCTGCTGATTAGGCCTCACACGGGTGTTCCAAGAACGACACAGAAAGAGCAACAGGCAGGTGTGTCATGTCATGTCACAATGCAGACAGTGCAGGCAGTGCAGGCAGTGCAAGTGGCAGTGGCGAGCAGAGGAGAGGAGAGGTGGGGGCAGTGGAGAGCGGAGGAGGTGGAGTGCAAGGGACAGTGCAGACGGAGCATTGCAGACAGGGCAGGCAGTGCAGACAGGGCAGGCAGTGCAGACAGGGCAGGCAGTGCAGACAGGGCAGACAGAGCAGTACGGACCATGCAGTGCGGACCATGCAGTGCGGACCTGGAGGACAGACGTCATGAGGCTGTGCTGATTCGTGTCATGGGGGGCCGACGCAGAAAGGAGAAGACGGGCAGACAACGGGCCTGCTTCTGCTTCTTCTGCTGCCGCTGCTGCTGTGCTTGCCTCTCCAGGAGCAGCAGTTCCCGAGAGGATGTCTGCACAGGAGACCAAGGTGCAACAACTCATCGTTACAAAATACGGCATTGTAGAAACTGATGGTTTCCACCTCTTTCCAGCTCGTCTGCTGATGCCCTTGCTGACAGGAGTGCAGTGGTGCTACGAGCACACATGATGAGAGGTGCGAGTGGGAAGGATGCAGGAGGGTACAAGGTTAGACGATCAAAGGCGGAAAGGTAAGAAGTACTGTGGCACCTCAGGGCATTGCAGGCAGAAACCGATGTGAGTGGGTTGGGTTCAGGAGGGTGGGAAGGGCAGGGGGTAGGGAGGGCAGGAAGATAGGGAGGGCAGGAGGTTGGGAAGGGCAGAATGGTGAGCGGGAGGGCAGGAGGGTGGAAAGGGCAGGAGGCTGCACCAGTGCATGAGGGCGTCTGGACGAATGGCTCGAAGAGAGTGAATGCCTGTGAGGCGAGGTGAAAGAGGGCAGAGAGGGCAGTGAAACCAGAGAGGCAAGATGGAATGGTGAATCAAGAAACAGGACGCCGAGAGAGCAAACAAGTCAATGTGGTGCAAAGCGGAATTGATTGATGGCGTTAGGGGTCAACAAGGCCATGTGCAGTGAGGTCACGCCATGTGCAGTGAGGTCACGCCACGCCATGTGCAGTGCTTCTCAACACACGCACTCAGTCTTGTACCTGGGAGCACGAGACATTGTCGGGTGGGAGGAAGGAGGTGCGGGGCAGCATGGCGTTGCAGGCCTGGAAGCAGCTGCCCAGAGCCAACGAGGCCACCCGCATGGGCGGAGATGTAGCACCACCGCTGCTAGCGCTGCTGCTGGCGCTGCTGCTACTATTGGTGCATAGCTGTGGGAGACAGAGAGTCCAAACCGCACAAGTCTGGGGGAAAGAGGAGTCGAGACGGGTGGGGATGAGATGGAGGCGGAGCAGAGAGAGGATGAGGTGCAGGCACGGCCGCGGCGTGCAGTCATAGCAGAGTGTGCATGAAGCAGCCTGCCATACTGCTCTGTACTGCTATCCATTTCTGTCCCCATCTGCCACACAGTGATCCACAGATGCCACACGATAGCACCACGTTGCCCCCATGTCACTTCAGCACATGTCACTCAGCACATGCCACTCAGCACATGCCACTCAGCACATGCCACTCAGCACATGTCACTCAGCACATGCCACTCAGCACATGCCACTCAGCACATGTCACTCAGCACATGCCACTCAGCACATGTCACTCAGCACATGTCACTCAGCACGTGCCACTAAGCACATGTCACTCAGCACATGCCACTCAGCACATGTTACTCAGCACATGCCACTCAGCACATGCCACTCAGCACATGTCACTCAGCACATGCCACTCAGGACATGTCACTCAGCACATGTCACTCAGCACATGCCACTCAGCACATGCCACTCAGCACATGCCACTCAGCACATGCCACTCAGCACATGCCACTCAGCACATGCCACTCAGCACATGCCACTCAGCACATGCCACTCAGCACATGCCACTCAGCACATGTCACTCAGCACATGCCACTCAGCACATGTTACTCAGCACATGCCACTCAGCACATGCCACTCAGCACATGTCACTCAGCACATGCCACTCAGCACATGCCACTCAGCACATGCCACTCAGCACATGCCACTCAGCACATGCCACTCAGCACACCCACCCAGTAAAACCAGGTAAGGATTTCACAGTACCCCTCTGCACCATACTGCAGAGGTACCATACCAGCCTGCCCAAAGCGCGTCTCCATCATACCTGTCTGCACCGCTGCAGACCGCTCTCGCTATCTGCCACACAGCCATCGATGAGAGCGAGCAGCACGTTAGCGCCCGTGCCATTGGACGGCCGCACCCTCTCCTTCCCGCCCGCCGAGGGGGCTGGCGCTGCAGAGGGCGAGGAGGCGGGGGCGCTGACACTAGAGGGGGGAGGCGCAGGAGTGGGTGAGGAGGGTGGTGCTGCTGATGCTGCTGCTGCTGCAGCTGGGTCGAGGGAAGCTGAAGGGAACTGTGGTCCATCGGAGGTGGTGGTGGGCTGGGACTCGTACACGTACACGCTCACCCCGCCCTCAGGTGCAGTGAGTGAGACGAACCAGTCGTTGTCTGGCAGCTGCACCGTGAGCGCCTGCCAGCCTGCCACCTCCGTAAACAGCTGAGGACCCTCGAACCTGACGTGCGGGGAGAGCTGGTTATTAGGACACCTCAATTTTCATGCATATACCACGCAAAGGAGAGCAGGAATTCAGAAGGAAACTATGGTAAAATTTGAAAGGTTCAAATATATATATATTTATATATATATACATCATATATCACGCTCACACACTCACTCACACTCCCACTCACTCACACTCCCACACACTCACACTCAATCACACTCTCGCACATACCGAGTTGTTGAAAAGGGCACTTCAACACTCATGCATTTACCAAGCAATTACACAGTCGCTTGCATACGCACGCGCACACACACACACGCACACATTCACACACACACACACAGGCACACATGCACACACACACGCACACACACACGCACACACACACACACACACACACACACGCACACGCACACACGCGCGCACACACACACACGCGCGGCGCGCGAACGCGCGCGCACATACACGCACTCACACTTACACATACAGACACACACGCGCACACACACGCGCACTCTCTCTCTCTCTCTCTCTCTCTCTCACACACACACACACACACACACATGCGTGTGCACACACGCACACACACACACACACGCACACACAAACTCATGCACACACACATGCATACACACACGCACGCATGCACGCGCGCGCGCACACACACTCACGCGCACACGCATGTACGCACGCACGCACTCACACTCTCACACACATTGAGTGCTCGCTGCCTCACGCTGCTGGCTCACCAGCACACATCGCGGATGGCGGTGGAGCAGAGGTTCCAGGAGGAGGCAGCCATGGCGTCGCGCGAGGCAAAGCGCCAGCGCAGCGCCACTGTGACGGCCGTCACGTTGGTGGCGACCCCGCAGTCCAGGGCGCACCCGAAGCGACCCACCGCTGGCACCTCCGTGGGGGGCATGCATGTGCCGTCGCCACACAGCGGGTCCGTCCATACAGCCTGAGCGGGGCGGAGAGAAGCGGAGAAGAAGTGTTGGAGGTTGAAGTGTTGGAGGTTGAAGTGTTGGAGGTTGAAGTGTTGGAGGTTGAAGTGTTGGAGGTTGAAGTGTTGGAGGTTGAAGTGTTGGAGGTTGAAGTGTTGGAGGTTGAAGTGTTGGAGGTTGAAGTGTCGGAGGTTGAAGTGTCGGAGGTTGAAGTGTCGGAGGTTGAAGTGTCGGAGGCTGAAGTGTCGGAGGTTGAAGTGTCGGAGGTTGAAGTGTTGGAGGTTGAAGTGTTGGAGGTTGAAGTGTTGGAGGTTGAAGTGTTGGAGGTTGAAGTGTTGGAGGTTGAAGTGTTGGAGGTTGAAGTGTTGGAGGTTGAAGTGTTGGAGGTTGAAGTGTTGGAGGTTGAAGTGTCGGAGGTTGAAGTGTCGGAGGTTGAAGTGTTGGAGGTTGAAGTGTTGGAGGTTGAAGTGTTGGAGGTTGAAGTGTTGGAGGTTGAAGTGTTGGAGGTTGAAGTGTTGGAGGTTGAAGTGTTGGAGGTTGAAGTGTTGGAGGTTGAAGTGTTGGAGGTTGAATGGTCTGACCTTGGCGCAGCGCAATTGATACCCTCGAAGCCTGTGGTGAACCTTTGAGGAATTCAACCGAATGAGAAGCCATGAAAAATCAAATGGTTGATGCGTCACCTGAATGATGCTGTCGTTGAGCCACGAGTAGAACGCGGTGCTGCTGGCAAAGGAGTAGCTTGCAGTCTTTGAATAGTCCTGCCGCCCTCACCGCACGCACACACACAAACACAACCACACAACAAGCGTCCGCATTGCACACACAGAGCATGTTGCAGTTGGCTGCAGCTGGAAGAGAGAGGCATGTGGCGAGAGGGGAGAGGCATGTGGCGAGAGGGGAGATGCATGTGGCGAGAGGGGAGATGCATGTGGCGAGAGGGGAGATGCATGTGGCGAGAGGGGAGATGCATGTGGCGAGAGGGGAGATGCATGTGGCGAGAGGGGAGATGCATGTGGTGGCGTGGCATGTGGCAGAGTAGCATCCAAGTGAAATCGCACAGAGGGGCCAGCGAGGCGGACAGCTGGCAGGCAGCTGGCAGGCAGAGGGGAGGCGGCCAAAGGCATACCGGAGGCAGCAGGACGTTGTGAGCGGTGGCCACCTGGTAGCTCTGGAAGGACTGCGCCTGGTGGGGTTGGGAGGGACGCATGACGCACAGAGACGAGCAAGCGGCATGAGCACAGGCCGCGCTGGCACCAGGACCAGAGCCAGGACCAAAGCCAGGACCAGGACCAGCAGGGCCAAGACCGGTCATGATCAGGCCAGGGCGAGGGTCGGCTGACCTTCTCACACGCCATGCCCAGCCCGCGTCAGTTCACTTGCTGGCGACGGGCCGTTTGATGGCACATCCGCGCACACATGGTGCTTGAAGTGTCCGATTCGCATGCGACAGGACAGGAGGAGCATGTGAGGGGAGCAAGGGAGCAAGCAAGAACGATTGACAGCACCGGACGCCGCTGAAGGAGGAGGAGGAGAAGGCAGAGCACGAAAATTGCATTGCCCTCAGGTGCCTTTAGGTAGAGCATGAGGAGGAGCGGACCTGAAGGCAGAGCATGAGGAGGAGCGGACCTGAAGGCAGAGCATGAGGAGGTAGAGGGCGGTGAAGAGCGCGAAGGCGACGAGGCTCTTGTAGTTGTGCAGCTGCGCCTGTGCCTCCACCACGCGCTCAAACACCGCTGCCCGCCCCCGCGCGCGCACACGTGGGGAAGGGTGGGGTGGGGGTTGCGGGGGGGGGGGGGGAGGGGGAAGAAAAGGGCAACGCACAGGATGGGGGGAGGGAGGGGTGGAGAGGGAAGGCAGCGCGGTTGTGGGTGTGCAGTTACGTGCGCGGCGCTTGTACCAACGCCGCAACAGAGCTGGCAGCCGCACAGGACGGCGGAGCAGCGAAGGTGAGGGCCGCAGGTGCCACGTGAACCATGTGAAACGATCATGGAGGAAGAAACGACTTTTAAACACTGAGAACGAGCCACGTGTAGAGAGGGTGTTTTTGAGACGTCTCAAAAACACCCTCTACACGAGGAAGAAACGACTTTAAACACTGAGAAAGAGAGTAGGAAGTGTTTTCAACGATAGGTGGCTGTGTGGTACCCTGAATGACCTCCTTGTCCGCCCGCGCCACCTCCTCGTCATCCAGCAGCGGCGACACTTCATCATCCGGACTCGCCCCTGCCGTCTCCCCCTCCTTTCCTCCTCCCTTGCGCGCCGCGCCCTTTCCGAGCCAGTCGCTCCATCCCGCCATTCTACTACCGCCGCGATCGTTACTTACCACCCTAAATGAGTGGGACGGATTCGTTAAGGGAAAGGAGGCGATGGAACAAACCAGCGCCGTGCGAAGATCTGAACAACGGTTTTGATCTTACTAGGGCTGCGTATGACTCGAGAGCCACGGGAACCAGGCTTGGGCGAAAAAAATGTGAGCTTTTGAGGCTTACACGAAAGAGTTGAAGGGCATCCGTCGCGCCCCTGAACAACCCCAAAGCGGCTTTTGGCGCAGAGCGGCTCCGCCTAGGCCTCACGCGGGTTCCTCTCCACCGCCTGAATGCGACGTATGGCTTACCCCGGATTACCACTGTACATCTGGGACGGTTTCGTCGGGACAGCGTTGCTTCCATGATGGCCCGCGAATTGTTTGGATTGCCATCTGGCTAATGATGCTGCTCTGCTGGAGTTTCCCTCCGCCGCTTGAGCAGGAATGGACCTTCCCGGCATCCTACTGTAAATATATTGCAACCTTCCCGCCATCGTGGATGAGGTAGTTCCGCCTTTGGCTGAAGTTGACATGATGACGTAGTAAAGTTTGACCAAATCATCGTCTGTATGCTCTGCTCTACATCTTTTCTGCGTTCCCTCCATGCTACTGCTCCCTTCGTTGACCAACTCTGAACGCGTCATGAGGGCACGTTAGGGTAGTTACATTTTCGTCCATTTTCCAAACGAACCGGACCGTCAGAACGGTTCAACGTGGTTCATTTTTGGAACACTTTGTTTAAGTGGGTTTCAATACGTTTCAAAGTGGTAATTGTCCGAACAGTCCGAATAATCGAAAATGTAACACGCCCTAAGATTTTACTTTCAATTGTCCGGACGGAGGTCCTGTCCGGCCTTTGTAGGGTTACTATTTCGCCTTAATACGTTACCAAACTCGCGAGACCCCTCGCGACGTCGTGATCGTCCAGACGAAAGTGTCACTTCACTGTCAGAGTGCGGTCCGTTCTACCTTGCTGACACCGTCCGGACGGGAATTCGGACCGCCTGTTTTGGCTGTGCAGTCATTGGCGCACGAAGTATGTGACATTTTCGAACGGGCTGTCGTCCGGACCTGAGTCCCAAACGTCTGGACGGAGCCTCGTCCGGATGGTTTGGAAGCGTCGTTCGGACCTTGGACGAAAACGGAAAAGGTTACGCGTCCTCAGGGCATGTGACGTTCTCTACCATCTGGACAGTTTAGGGCGTGTCTCTTTTTTGATTTTATGGATTTTGACGGACTGCCCGCTTGTATGTAAACGGACAGTTGCAATAGCGAGAATCGGACTGTCCGATTCAAAAATTCGAAACACTGGACAGTCCGTAGGCAAAAGCATCACTTTTCCGAGTGCATGAGACTCCCGAAGTACTGTAGCATCGCCAGGCATCGTACTCCTACTTAACCTCAGTCACACCCCATCGCCAACATCGCATAGCCAGGTCGCGGCTCGATGCCCCCTGAAAGCCAACCGTCTACCTTCTACACAATTCACATCACAACACAAGAATCAAAACCAAGAGCCACAGACACATAGCACTATAGAAACCAGGAAAATTGCAACGCCATGTCTAGGAGGCTGCTCCTATCAGTGCTTCACCTGCTTTACAGAGGCTACCACGAGTTCATCGTCCGTCCAGCCTTTGAACAGCTCACGGATGTTATTCTACTGCTTGAGGACGATGACCGCTTCACGATGCGGCGTGACCGTGAGAATCAGCGGGCACGGTGGGATGCCCTCCTCGACTCCTTGCCTCGCCGCATATTCCATGAAACGTTCAGAGTTAACCGGGCGGTGTTTGACTACCTAGTAGAGGCGTGGATAACGCGGAACGGAGACCGCGGACGAGTAGTGCCCATCGAGACAGTGGTGGCTATGACTCTAGTGTATCTTGGCACGGGTGCCACCTTCCGTCAGGTGGGATTGCAATTTGGTGTTGTGCCTCAACATGTCTTCCGCCTTATCTACGGGTTCATAGCGTTCCTCGTCACCGTGTTGGAGCCTCTGTGGGTTACACACCCCACCCTTGAGCAATGTGAAGAAATGGCGGCAGAGTTCACTTACGAGGGGGGGATTCCGGGAGTCATTAAAGCATTGGATGGGACTTTTATAGAATGCAGGGGGTTCGGACGCGACAAAGAAGACTTCAAAAACAGAAAGGGTTTCTACTCTATCCACCTACAGATAGCATGTGATAGCAACGGCATAATCTGGGACTACAACGTCGGCTACCCCGGGAGTGTGAATGACGCACGGGTGTTCAACAACTCACCCCTCCGGGAGTGCATGGAAGCAGGGGATTTAGGCAACTACATGCTGGTCAGCGACGCCGCGTACGCCTTGAAAAGCTACACATGCGTCCCATGGCGGGCTACTCCGGGAAGGGCTCTGCCAAGGGCGAAGGACAAATGGAACACACAACAGTCAAGGCAACGGATGGTGGTTGAACAAGTGAACGGGAGATTGAAGGGGAAATGGAGGATCCTAGATGCCCGTATGGAATGCCATAGTGACCGCGTCCCGCAGGTCGTGAGCGCGTGTGTCGCGATGCACAACATAGAGCTCACGATCGTAGCCGCGATCGACTTGGCCCACCAAACGAGCGGGATCGTTGGTGGCTCGCGGGTCCCGCATCACGGCTTCGACTTACCGGCGCCGAGGTCCGCGGGTTCACGCCTCGTCTTCGGATGAAGAGGTGGACTGCGGCGATCTACGCCTCCTACTGCGTCGCTCATCCGCGAAGCCGCGAAGCACCTCCCGGGTAAGCGCCTCGAACTTGCCCCAATTCTCCTCTTGACGCTTGTCGTTATGGTTGCGGAGCTCGCGAACAAGATCCGCGGTGCTTTGTGCTCTGGATCGCCCAGCAGATTTCCGACCTTGGCCCTTCGATCCGGTCTTACCCCCCTTGCCATCCTTGCCCTCGGGCTGCTGGCGGGGATACTGATACCATGCATGCCGGCTGCATCCCTCTTGCCCATTAGACGACGCGAGCGCTCCCCCGACTTGGCGACGACCACGGATCGAGACACCCGTCGTCGCACCTGATTCCGTCGCGGCGGCAGTAGGAGACGCCGACGGGATGGTGTCTGGCGATAGAGGGGACACATTCCCGCGGCGGGTTGTATTGTCTCCAGCAGGGGAAGGCGCGAGTGACGCGCGCGGGGGATTAGGAGTACGAGATGTTGGCGCGACCACACGAGTCGACGTGGTCTCATTAGCGGTCGGCGGGTTGGAGGGTATGGGATGTGGGAGTGGCGCAGCCGGCGGTGGGAGCGCGATGCTGGGAGGGGGACTGTCCGCGTTCGCGAGGGCAGTTGTTGTATGCGACGTGGGCGTCGCATTCGTCGTAGCCTGCCGACGACGGGCGTTGGCCCGAGGTGGCGTTGCCGTCGAAGACCTAGAGCCTGTGGATCGATTGACGCCCGTGCCTGCAAGTACGGGGGGGATGGTACTCGGGCGCTCACCAAGGTGGCAGACCAGTGGCGCGTCCCGCACCCGAGCGCTTGATGCGATCGTTGATGCGGCGCCACTGCTCCTTCATGCGATTGTACTTGGCCTTGAGAGCGGAGACGTCGTGGCGCCACGTCGGATTCTGCAGCAGGAGCACCTCCTGGATGAGCGGGTACCAGCTGCGGCCTTGCTGACCCGTACGCGCGCGGATCTGGGCCTGGCGGGTGATGAAAGCTGCGAGGACCTCGCACTCCTCCTCTGGGGTCCAGCGCGGCTGCGTCCTGCCCGTAGATCTGCGTGACGGAGCGGTGGTCTCGCGGGTCGGGGACGTCTCCTGCTCAGCGGGCTCCTCCTCAACCTCCCCGAGCGTCGCGGCATTGTCCATATCTGCGCCTAGTCCGTAGTCGTCGTCGGCGTCGTACGAGGCTGTGGGAGACGGGATGTGGTAGACCCACCAGTCAGCTTGCGTGTTTGTGGTTGTGGTCGGGGTTTGAGCGTTGGCGGGAGGCTGATTCTGGATCTGAGACTCTTATGTCTCTGGAGCAGCAGCATGAGGATCAGGTTGGGTAGAGGTACTAGGGACGGAGGTGTTGGGTGTAGTGTTTGCCGGTCCAGAGTTCTCATTTCCGCTAGACTGCTCCATTGCGTGCTGATTGTGTTGGTTCGGTTCTAAGTGGAGGCGTTTTTGTAGTGTAGGAGGGGTAGTGGGTGTGTCTATGGTTCAATGTTCAGTCTGGCGCCGCGCGCCAAAAAATCTATTGGAGATGCGGCTCGGTATATTTTTTCGGGTTCTTCACGCGCCAATCAGATGTCAGAGAAGGAGTTTCGTCCATTTGCTTATCGAACTGACAAAGGTTCACATTGTGAACCGTTGCTTGGAGGGAAAAGTGATGTGACGGTTCGAACTGTGGGCGAAATCGCGAATGCCTTGGCGAAGAAGTCGCGAAACAGTGCGAAGTAGGTAACTTCTTCGCGAGCCGGACGGTCCACGGTTCGAACCGTCAAAGTAAAAAAAGAGACACGCCCTTAGTGGTTACTAGAGTCGATTAAACTCGTCCGTCAAAAGTTGAACAACGTCTAGTTCGTCGCATTGCGTCCTTACGACGTCGTTTGCATCTCAGGAAAACCGTACGACGTCGCCAGCCTCGCAAGCGTCCGGACGTACGTCGCACAACGTCCAGACTATTTTGCTCTTTGAATGATGTCACACGCCCTTAGGGCGCGTGTCTTTTGGTGTAGACGTTAAAAAAAAAGGTCGAGCTTTTGCTGGTAACCTGCTTCGCAAATTTCGCAAAATCTTTCGCAAATGGATCGTGTGTTCTAGTTTAAACTGTGTGAAAGAAGTTGGACACTGAACTAAAGTCGACCTGCATTCGCATTTTTATGTTAACATTAATCTAATCGTGTGTTCTTGTGCGCACGCACGAACATTCACGAGGTTCACGACAAAAACGAGGTACATTTTACCAGGTTACCGAAGCCTGATACGGTAACGAATCGCACCGCCCAACCAGGTAACCTACGAAAGTTGAGCGCGACTCGTGATATACTGTTCAAAGTTGATCTTTGATAGTCGAACTTTGTTGTTCCATGTGCGACTCGGACTTGTTGAAGTTGCTCCTCGACCATCAAAATTCGAGATGGTCGACCACACGTCGACCAAAGTTCGAATGTGAAAATTCGAGAAAAAAACATGAACTTCTACCTAATTTGCAAAAGACACGCGCCCTTATCGTTTTTCTGTCTGCTCGCTAACACCATCTGCCCTTTCGGATGTGGCTCATCAAATCCCCCACTCCCTATGCTAGTACACCTTGTTCTTGATAATTGCACACCCCCTAAAATGACACCCTAGGGGTACATACCATGAGTGCAACATTTTTGCAGGGTAGTTCACGGCGTATGTCAAAATTTCTGGGGGAATTTCCCGCACCCCTGTCGCGAATTTTGGAAAGCAATAAGAACCCCAGGGCACCTTAC